CTTTTCCTTCTCCTCCTTTCTCCATTCAATGTTCTAGAAGGTGTCTGGTTAAGGCTTACGCCTTGATCCTCATTTCAACGCAAGCCTCAAGAAAATATATATATATATATGCATGCATTTAGTTTAACTCAAGTTTACTGGACTATCTTCTCTCTTCTCTTTATATTATCCTTCCTGAAAAGGCGTGTTTGGCTTACACCTTCAGTCTTGCTTGGAAATTCGCTTCAAGGCTCAAAATTATGCCCCACATGCTTCACAGTTCACACATAGAGGTGCATTCCCTCAAGAACGTATACAGGTATACTCAGTTCATTCATCAAAACCCCACATTTCTATTGCTTAAACTTTACTTATTAATTGACCCCCCCATTTATTAGCTTTTTGTGACCATTTGTTAGAATCAGAATCAATGACGTTTGCTTTCATTGCGTAAATACACAAAATAGCAACCCAAGAATTTTCCATATATGTTTGAATCAGCTAAACATTTTTGACTTTTCCTGGTTTACTTTGGCTCCTCCATGGAAGCAGGGAAGGACCAATTATTGATGGAAAATATTGCCACTTAATCCATGTTACCACATGAAGTGTAAGATTCTTCTCAAACATGGGTGGTGTGGCTTTATCATCCACTGAGTAAATTTATTCTCCCTCCTTTCATCTCCATCCATGAAGGACGCAAGCATCTTTAGGGCACTCTCTCATTTCACATGCATATATATGGATGACGTGGGGCGTTATTATTGGTTAAACAACTCCTAATACACCCATCAAATGCACCGGGCTCTCTTTCCCGGTACTCATACTCATAACTAATACATAATCAAGGTTGTAGAAACTTAATTCTTTTTTAATGCTGATGTATGTTCAATTTGATTAAGTGTCCATCATCAATAAGGTTCTATAAAGGAGCTTACTTTCACCCTTTTAAAAAGGAGGGATTGGTGCTTTTATGGTGCCCAATGACCTAGTAGGTCGGTCACTTGGCGTCTCTCTGGATGTATACGGAGGTGCCAGATCATACCCATATAACTGTAGGCTCTCCATAATAGTGAGTTCAAATCAGCCCCCCACAAAATCCCACAGAACATTTTGTCATATATTGAGAATATCTCCAGATGATGACATCATCATTTTTGGTATTATCATCGGGAGGGAAATGTTCTCAATATACGGCAAGGATGTGCTGTGGGACGTTGTGGGGGGGCTGATTTGATCTCCTCCATAATAAGTTCAGTAGTACTCACATGCAGTTGCACCCTGCTCTGTCCACCCCTTGATCTATTATATTATACCAAAATGCAAAAAAAAGACTTTTTAGGTGGATGTTAGAGTCATCTCACCCAATATTATCATAACATTTTAATAATTCCAAATAGGGAGAAAAAAAAAAAAACGGAATTAAACTCTTATCCACCATTGGATTAGGATATAGGAGGCTGTTCATTGCGGTGAGAGTTTTTATTTTTTGAAAGTTTTTCTAGACCCTTATCTCACACATCTAAAGGTTCACTGTTTCAATATTTCCTTTCTTTCCTTTCTTTCTTTTATTTAACTAAATAATTACCATGAATCCATCAAACTAACTGGGTTTTAGGTTGTTGGAGGACCCTTCTTGGGGTTTGTGTGAGTTGAATAATGGAGTTGGGAGATGGACACGTGGCAAGCACTCCCATATTTGATCTAGGGGGGGCTTCCCTTATGTTCCAATATGACATTGACACGCCATTCATAAAATCATTGGCAGCAGTTGGACGTGGAGGGGCCCTCCACTCAAAGCTTTCTTCTTTTTCTTCTAACTTTTTTTTTTTTTAATTTTTTTTATTTGTTATCTCCTTTGTTGTTTTTGTTGAGCTTGCGCCCTTTCATTTGCTGTGTAGTTTCAGCTTTCTACTTTCAACAGCTTTATTAAAAGAAAGAAATAACATAAAGAGAGAGAGAGAGAAAAATGTAATAATCAAACTAAGATCCACTATGCTCAATATATCTGATTTGAACACATTCTTAGAGGGCATTTGATAACAGTTGAAATGGCTGAATTGAATGAATTATGAATAATATATTTCCTTGTCTTTTCACATTCTTAATGATTTTATCAGCTTCAGTCATTAAGGAGCTCATAACCTCTTTAAAAACTTATTCACCAAATGCAAAGCAACAAGTCATTCAGCTGTCCATTTCATCTCTTATCAAATGGCCCCTTAATAAAAATGTCTCTATTTTTAATTCATCATTGCATTTAATTTCAACGAGAGGTCATCATTGTCACCGTTGTCATCATCATCATCATCTAAACTTTATCCCAATTATGTGGGGGTCGATAACATGAATTCTCTTTTGTCATTTTGCTATGTAAGTTTAATTAGATATTAGAGTAGAAAATATATAATTTTTTGTGACCCAAAGTGATGGCTAATTACAAGCATTTCCATGCGCGCGTGTGGGGGTAAATCTTTGCCATGTTGCAGCATTAAAGTGTGTATCGTGCGATATATCGGAGGAATCGTGGAATGCCACTTTCTTTGATGGAGACGACTAAGAACCCGATATGTTAATAACTTGTATTAATTAAATTATCTCAATTAAGTGTAAATAAAAAAAAAGGCTTATGACTTTATAACAGTGATGATGATGATGGACAGTGAACAACCCTAAGATTAAAAATAGGGATTACCTATAAATGTTTAAAAAGCTGAATACTTTTAAAGAGGAAGAATAAACTATGAGAAAGATGAATTCAGGTTCTTATGCTTTCATTAAGCTATATATGTTGTTAATTATTTGATTATTAATTTCAACCCAAACTCCTTGTTTAAGTGTTAATTAAATTGTGGTTTAATTTCATCCATAGGGACCACCACAACATCTATTAATGTGCTTCTCTCTCTCTCTCCTTTATAGCTCCCTAACATTTCTGCAACTAGATATTCTCAATAATAACTTTGTCGCCATTGTGATCTCTTGGGGGGCCGTGATGAGGTTGATACAGTGAAAAAGATGGATGAAATCCGCCGAACCATGAATATATAGTCTTATGATTCTTCCTCTGCAGCTTATAATGTAGCCATTTGTGGCTGAAAAGAGGGGCCAAGATTAATGCTTAAGAAACCCTAAATGAGAGAGGGGGGAGGAGAGTAGTGCTTAGTTCCTTGGTGATGGGGGGGCGCTAGTTGTGGAAAAAATAACACCCACATGGATAGATGCTCAAATGGTCTCTTTACTGAGATGTACCCATGTGATGGATACTGAACCATGCCACATAAAAATTTTAGGGGCGTGTATTGAGCATGTATGAACAACACTAGAACAGCTTAATTAAACACATATTTTTTTATTATTTTTTTTGTCTAATAAAACGGGTCCAGGTGAGAAAGGTTTTGATGAGGGCCCCACCCATGTGAGTAGTGGGATGACATGGAAGTGATGACATGTCAGCAATTCAAGTTGTTCAAGGGTGACAGAGAGAGAGAGAGAGTATTTTATATTGATGTGAGTTGCTGTGATAGTAAGTTGGATGACTGTGGCACACTAGGTATGTACATATTCTCTACAGCCCATTGTGTTTGCCAGGTGGAAAAAGATTATCTTTTCTTATTTGAAGGGACAGAGGAACTGTACTAATGTGGCTAAGAGTATTTAACACCGTGGGTTCTCACTCTGTAAAAACACTGACACACAGAAAGATAGGAATTTTTGTTAATGACTTCAGTCATCATGGCCCCATGGAAGTATATAGGAATTGGCAACCAGATAAAAATAATAAAAATAGGCTGAAGAATAATATAAATATCAGAGGAATATTAATCTGCTTGCAATGACTTCCACATGCTAAAATTCTTTGTTCCAAGAGCAATCATGGCGTCCATTTGAGAACAACTAGCTTTATCCTCATTGGGATGCATTTGCTTCACGGGGGAAGGGGATGAAAAAGCTTTCAATAATCTCGAATAATATTATAGTTACAGTTTTTTTCC